ACAGATATATTTTCACTCGCCGAACACTCTCTGACTGAGCGCATCAGAGTTTCTCTCTCCGTCAAGCGATCTGTGCTGTTTTTCAGTTCAATTGAATGGATGTGCAACGCACCTGTATTTAACTTACCGTAAACTCTAGTGTGAAGGCGCACGGCTCACCGTCGCTTTGTTTCACACACACGCGGAGAGAGAGAATTGATGTGCACTACATGTAAACGATATTCTTTGTTGTATTTTCCTGTAAAAATAACGGAGTTACTTAGACAACCAGTTCGAAGGGAGCATAACTTGCTTTTTGGGTTAAAAAAATGTCTTAATATGAAATTCGAATGGTATGACAATTAGAGGTTAGACTGTACAGAAGTTGAAATGTACATGCTAATAAACACTATAGGCAATGCTGATGTTGTTAACATTAATTTGAGAATAAAGCATAACAATAATAATAATTTGCATGGTTTGATGTGATATGAGCTAACCGATCTTTAGATAAAATCACCATTGGTAGCGCAATTTATTGTAATGCTTTTTTCCTCAGTTGGTCAGAACAAACGTGGCAGACTTGTTACTTGTTCAGATGACAATATCCGGTGAAAATGCTTATTTGTGTCATACATTCCAAGACATAGGCTAGAATCTGTGATATCCACAACGGTGCGGTAACTGTCTGCCACACATACTCCTCAAAACATTAGATTCATCTGCGCTGGAGCCACGCCGGAGCACAACCAACGCAAGGAAGATAATTCCGCAAACAGCTGCAATTGCAGGTTTTCAAACGGAGATTGCGACAAAGAGGCAAAACTTACGGACTGCAGCTTTAAGGTCAAAATGTCTCTGGTTCATGGTTTTGTTGTTTTCTAACAACAGAAGAGCTATAGAAAGAATATTTACATTGCTTTATTTCTGTATTTCTGCATCTTTCCAACAGCCAATAACACGCGAGATGGGCTGCCAGTGTAATGCTCTGATTCTGAAGAGCGTTGCGGTCCAAGCAGTACGCACCCAAAAAAAGCCAAAACGGAGAAGTAAAGGTAACATTTTTAGCTAAATGTTCACTTGTGATTTAACAGTTTTGTGTTTTGCTTCACTGGTTTGATTTTCATTTTTATGTGGTTTAATAACAGCCATTCAAGTGAGACCTCTTTTGAGTCATTGTGCTAGTGTGTCCTGCTCCGATGAGGATTTTCCCGTCAAATCTGAATCTTCATTTACATTAACACCAATTAAAAGGCCACGCATGGAGGATTCCCCTGAGAGGTCTACACACAGCTCAGAAGAACCAACAGATGACACCCATGTGCCTAATATAATTAAAGAAGATGACATAAAGTAAGTCTGTCCACGTTTAATTTGGAATGTTGTTCTGTAAACTCACAGCCAGCTATATGCTGGTATTGAACACCCACTTTTCATGATTCAGTAAAATCCAGAATATACCTAAAGTTCACATCAAGAACAATAACAGTAACTATATTGGGCTACGTTCACACCACGGGCAAATGTGGCCCAAATCAGATTTTTTTGCTCATGTGACTCAGATCTGTTTTTCTCATGACTGTGAACAGCACAAACCAAATGGAATCTGATCTTTTCAATTCCGATTTGTGCCACTTCCATGTCCCATACAGGTCAGATGTTTTGCAATGTGACCGCAGTCTAAACCGTCATATCGGAATTCATGCGACTTTTATGTCACTCTAGATGAACATTCGTCCAGATTTTGCGCTCATGGGAGTCACTTCAAAGATTTTACATACCCAAAGTTATCAAGATAGTTGTGAAAGATAGTCCGTGGAAGTACAGTGTTGTGTCAGAACACTGAAGTATTACAGTGACAACTCTATATACAAGCAAAACATGAGGCCTTGTATCATAAAATTTCAAAACTCTGCTCTCTTTTGTCCCGTCCTTGTCTTTATTTTTCAGATCGGAGCAAAAATCAGAATTGAGCACTAAGGCTCACAGTGTGACTGAGCCTTGGTGTCCACAGCAAATGTGCTTGGTTGCCACTTTAAATGTTCAAGCTCTTTAAACATAGATTCTGACATTGTTTTACATTATTTTACATTTATGTGGTGTTACAGTTAAGAAATATTCTGAGAGTGACTGCAACAATATCATTATTTTTATAGTTATGGCATGGACTTCCCTAATCTTATAGAATTGGAATGATTATTCAAATTTTATAGTTATCGTCTTTAGTGTGAATAGTGTGTATCGGTCATATTACAGAAGTTAAACAAAGTATGCCATTTAAAATGCCCTGAATTACAATTCACAAGCTAATTTTATTTTCTAAAATGCTGATATATATAACTCTCTTGTGGTTAAGATTCAGCCCTCTCACAGTGACGGATTGGGTTCAAATTCTGGTCAAGGAAGCATTCTTTTGCTGTTAAAATATTTATGTAAAAAAAAAAAGCTGTGGAAGAGAAGTTACAGATCATAAAATAACAACATACAAATAGCCATTTTTTTCACTGTTTATTGAAAAAGCATACATAAGTTCATAATTTGTCAGTAATTCTTAATCATCTAATATTGTTTAGTACTTAACACCCCTCTCCACATCCAATTTCATTTCATTTTCCAACTGTAACCTAGATTGCTCTGTAATAATAGTCAGAATCAAACCCGAAGAGGGAAAGGCAGTTATATTTCCACCTAGACGAAATCCTTATCAGTAATCTTGTTCATTCAGCAGGCCTGACCAGAAGGCCTGGTGTCAATTCATCCCTGTAAAACACAAACACATACCGTGTGCAAACAGTACTCCCACAAACTTGGTCCATTAAATATCAGTTTGACAATGCAAGTGATAAAACAACTGGTCCTGGAGTCAATTACATTCACTCCAACTCTAAACCTACATGCATCTTCCTCTTCACATTATATCCATCTTTAGAATAGAGATTACAAAAACTAGGTTTAAGATTTTTGCAGAGAATGCATGGTGCAAATGCATCATTCTCCAAGGATCAAATGCTCCATAGAGCAGAAAAGTGTGAAGGTGGATGAGAAAGCATTTGGAAGAAAGGCCTGCTGGTTTAGTGTTTAGAGTTTGACAGTGTCTCAGTATATAGAGGCAACAGGAAATGCTTAAAAACATACAAAACCTGAAGGTAATACCGCATAAAAAGATACCACAACGTAACACCAAACTGTGCAAGAAGTTACAGAAGCATTCGCACCACAGCATCTACCCTGCAATGAGTAGCAAAACAGAAACAAAATTTAAAGGCAGTACACCCAAAAATGAAAAGCATCATGTACTCTCCATCATATTGTTCAAAAACTGTGACACTTGTTCTTCTGTGAGAACATTTTTGGGTGAACTTTTAAGAGGCCATACAAACAACAACAAAAACAACAAATAAATACAGGGAAAATTAGTGTTAGAACACAGCTACACTGAATTGAGGCAGATACACTTTGAAAAGCCAAACAGTAAGACAAGCCATTCCAATCAGGGGTCTGAAACAGCCATCCCTGGATTTACATACCTTCTCAGAACGTCTGCTGCCAAATGGTTAAAAAAAACACATTGCAAGCATACTGTACTAACTGTATTGTAATGCTATCTCATAACACTGCTGACCAGTGTTATTCTGTAACATTTATCAGCACAATTTCCTCATAGCTGACACGCACAAAAAAAAAAACTTTCTGCAGCAGCTACACTCACAAACACGCTTTGGAACCGACTTCGAGTGACCTTGAACGTTCGTCCAAGTCAGTGTGATCAATCACATGCATATGGTTAAAGGTACTTATTTCAGTGGAACAACATCAGTATGTTATTTGAATTGCTTTGTTCAGTTTTAAAGGCTGGACCGATGCGAGGAGGAGATGTAGTGTGTTGTATATCCACTGGAGGATCACGTTCTTTAAGCATGACAAAGCAGCCGCAGTACAGAATTATGAATGTGCACAAAAAACCTTGACAGACTGAAAATATTATGTTCTACCCTTTGACATAGGGTAGCAAAAATCTTTCTAGTGATGGCCGGAGGCCTCTCTCATGTATGTCTACCGGAGCATGGGTCCTTTACCCCACAAATCATAGGTCGAGTTAGTCTTCATGCCCCTTACTTTCTGATCCATGTTCAGGTAAATGAGGTGGGGTCATGAGAATGAGAGAGACCTCAAGTCTAAATTGATTTGAATTCAAACTGGAATACCAAGCCGGTGCTTCTTTTTCTTAACAGGCTTGAGCCCTGTGAGTCTTCGTACATCGTCGTCACCATTTGAATCCTCCATTTCGTCATCTGCAGAAAACAGAATCTGACCAGCACAGGAGGAAGAGGGCAAAGAGAAAGACGGTGTTCAACTTATCTTTTTAAAAAACAAACAGATGATACTGAAAACATATCATCCTAAAAAGTGGAATACACCTCACAAACCTAAATAAGTAGGTAATATTCTCTATGACATTCTGACTGAGCTGCTTATTCCTTTACAAGTGAGAAAGATGGACTATAATCACTTGACTAAAACATCTGACATGTCAACGAATTAGTATGACACAGATAAAGCGTGTGGATGGAAATGCCACACTCGAGATGACTGTTCTCTCACTGTCAAGTTCCCTCCTCAAATGACTTGCCTTGTCTCAAATCTAGCACTAGCACAGGACATACTCAAGAGATGTTATTGGGTCAAACATCATATAAATACAGAAATATTAGCAGCATGTTAGTAAACCACATACACTAATGTGTTCTATTCATCCTAAAAACTGTCTTCCACTGAAAATCAAGTTTGACCAGAGTTCATTACTGGATGTTTTGTTAATCAGAACAGTCTGTGCAGCCTTTTCTTTAAGGCATACCTGCTTTGTTAGATTGTAAACTCACTGACTGATCATGGTTATACTCACTTCAGGTCAAGTGTTGGGAAAGATTAAGGAGCGGTCATGCACATAATGGTCATGCATTTGTACTACGGAAAAAGGGGGATGTAAAAGGGGATGTCCCATCTAGGACTTGGGTAGAGGGATGATTTTGAATTTAACACTGTAGATCAAAGGAAAGCCCAAAATATAAATTCTGCCATTTAAAGATGTTTAAGGAGGAGCAAGAGTGTCTTGCCAAAGCAAGTCTGTTTAGATTCAGATCACAAATGTTTAGACTTTGTTGATTGTTTTGATAAGTGTTTTATACATTCCATAAACTAATAAGTGTTATGTAATCATTTATGATTTTCTTTAATGGAAATAGGTTTTATTCTGTGGTTTAAACATGCAAATAATTTCATTTCCAATAAAAATGTTAACATTACAAGTGTTTTTTTTTTTTCTCCCTCCAGAGTGTGACTTGGTTTAAAGTGGTTGACAATCATTTAAACCAGCTATGTTGCTGGTGCTCATGTCTAAAATTATTATGTAATTATTAATTATTACTCCCACTGAATGGGAGTCTATGGCAGCTCTATGAACGGAATGAGAAAGTGAGGAAATTTGGCACAATTGTAAAGATGGTAATGAATAGTGATTTGACCAATTTTGGAGTCTGTAGAATCAACTCTATGGCACCACCACCGGTTGAAAAATTCACTTTTCTAAAGCTTATAAATTTTGAACCCTTTGTTCTAGAAAAATGAAGCTTAGTTCATCTTAATAATCTCCTCATTCTGATCACATTCAATAGCTTACATTAAGACTCCACCCATAACAGTAGTAGCCATTTTAAATAGTACAGTATTACTTTTTTCGTTACGACAAAATTTTCCCAATTCTTACAAAAATTGGCTCAGAGGATCTTTGGACTGAGCCACACAGAAATGACTGAACAAAATTTTGATATTTTGATCAAAAGTTACGGTATCATAATTACAATAATACATAATTACTTAATTTCAACCAAAAATCGGTTCAAACTAAACTCGGTAGGCTGAGGGGACAAGCCAAAGTTGGGAAAAGTGCCACTTATGGGTCATGAGATACCAAAAATTGACACTTTTGCTTATAACTTTAAAACAATTTGTCAGAAATCTTGATCTTGAATCATGATTCCTTAAGTCCTGCCAAATTGGAGGATAACGATTTTGCCTGGATCCGATGAACTGCCTGTCCACCATTTTTAATTTAGTCATAATTTGCATCTTCCGAACAATTTGACAGATGAACACAAAAATGGTAGGGATCATTGACAGCATATCCTGGAGGTACCTGAGAAGTCTGAACAAAGTGCGACCTAGTGTTCCAGAGATGCAAAGATTTGTGCAAAAATGCTTATAACTTTTGACACGTTATCAAATTTTTCATTTTCAATAATTTTTTGTCCGCTATTTTGATTTAAATGATAAACGTTTTTTTCAGTACTCCGCCTACAAATCTTGTTCTGATTTTGTCCAAAATCTTATCAGTTTATCTATGGACCCAGCTCAGTGCTTAATTTGTAAATGAATAATTGCCGGATCCAAAACAGCAATTAAAAGGCGCTGTGACTGACACTGAAAATACAACTTACGTTTTCCCGGAACATTGAATGACGTCACTAAACGGTGATGCCGCAATTATATAGAGAGCATC